CTAGGTTCTCACTCAAGCTGGTTTCCAGAAGGCTCTCGGTCAGGGGCTGGAGCCAGACAGCTCATTAAAATGAATAGGACCTAGCAGGCCTTCTGCGTCGCTCCTGGACGCCTCTGATTGCTGACAGTCTGGAGCTGATGACAGCCCACTTCAAGTGAATGCTGGACTTGAACATTCTCTGTGTTTTGCTTTCCCAGACCCTTGGTCGGATTTTGTCATTTTCATTTAACACAGTGAGATGCATTGAGAAGCTTAACCCCAGATTCCTGCCGGGAGATCCTGGCAGGTTGCATATAGGAGCTCAGTCCTTCCCCATATCAGGATATCATATGCACAATGTTCTCCCCCTTTCTTTCTTGTCCTAAAGCCAAATTGGGCTCAAATAATGAGTGTGAAAGGTTAAGGGGCCCAATGAATGATTTGTTCTCCATCACCTCACCACATTGGCCACGTATTGCTGCATGGCAAATTGCTTCCAAATTGCCCCCATAAAGCACCTGCCTTGTACCTCACTGCGAGATTCCAAAGGTTGCAATCAGGTGTTTGTACTTTCTTTTTCAAGAAAGATACAAATCTTGCCAGATCTGGGACTCTGCTGTTTCTGGCCAATAGACTCGGGCCATTCTGATCCGTCTGCCATCTCTTCCCACATCACGGCATCTTCTAATTTTCCAATTTTACTATCAAAAAGATACGTCTGCCAGCGGGTTAAAAGGAAAAAGAATTCTAAAGAGCGGGGAGTGGATAAAGGAGGCTAGGGAGAGGGGGGTGGGCACACACTTGGACCATGGTTGGGGGACACGGGGGATACTTCTAGGATCGGCGGGGGACCAAGATTCCCAGTGTCTGTGCTTGTGTGTGGTTAGATGAGGGCATCCTCCCTGCCTCTGGACCCTTCCCGTGTGGTTCGACAATCCATAGCAAGCCTGTGACACTGGCTATTAGCAGCAGTATAGCCAGGCAGCGGTGTCCTTAGGAGGCCACCACACGGCTATCAATGCCAAGATGTTTTCCCACCAAATGACTGATAGGCAGTGCACATAGTGAGTAAACCTGTGAAAAATAACATGATCAGCTCCCGAGTACAGTCACCAAGGGTCAGAGGGCGGAGTCTCTTACCTTAGATGAATGGAAAGGAGTGAGGTTCAGATGTTAACATCTGCACTGTCATTTACACCCACGGGGGAGTGAAGCAGGGACGGTTTGGATCCTAAGACTGCCACCATAATTGTGACAAGGATGCTCCACCCCCACCCTTTTCAAAGAAAACCATTTCTCTGTCCTATGTCCCAGCACCTGGAAGACAGACCCATGTGTTCTGAGCTTACTCACCGTTTAGTAATGTGAGGAAAATAAGTTTGAATGGATTGGGAATATGTAAAGCTGCTGTTGATCTTTGAAATAGCAGTTTCCAAGGAATACACACTGAAGGCTGCTGGAGTGTACGGAGGACATCTGGTGATATCTGCCTGATAGCAAGGGCCCCTTCTTTCTGTCTGCAACCCTGCCCTGACTGGGCTAGTTTGGGGAAGCTAGGACTTCCCATTCTTGGCTAAGATTTGGGATAAAGTTGATAACTGTGCTCTCCTGCAGGTGGCGCCACAATGTAGGTTTTCAAGCAGTCTTGGGCCATAGGTTTTTATCCTGAGCACAGAGCAGGACCCAGCTAAGGGACAGCTCTTGGGGGAAAGATGTCTCTCTGTAGCACCACCAGACTCTGGCAGTTTGTTTAATAAATTAACCTGGCTTTGTCTCTGTTCCTAAGCTATGGTGGTAATTAAATGAAGGGAAATCCAGGAGTCTTCTCTCTCCCTTAACCCTGGCCCTTTTATTCAGCCACTGGAGATGAGCCAGTATGCTTCTCCCCAGATCTGGCAAAGAATCACAGCCAAAAAGTCTCCCAAAAATAGCTTCTTTAGAAAATAGGACTCTATAAAGCAATATGCCATTTAACTTCTCCCTCTTGTGGCCATGGGGCCAGACGCTGACCTCCCCAGCTCCGCCACCAGGCCAGGGACGCAGTGAGTGACTCACAGGCCCATAGCCATCAGGAAGCAGCTAGACTGCCCAGAGTGTGTCTGTCTTCACCCCTTATCAGCTTGTGGGGGTTGTGTAGCTAGAGAGAGTGAGCCCGAGGGAGAGCGAGGGGGCTTGTAGCGAGGGATGATGTGAATCACTGCACGGTGCTGCCTTTTCCAGGCTGTTGCTTCATGGGGAAGAGTCAGGACAGCAAAGGGCCTGCCCCCTGCATGCATCGTACCGCTGGAGACAAGGATGCTTTCCTATGACAGGGAGTCCAGACTCCTTCCACGTGCATTGTGTTAGAGCTCCAAATCATGCTCGCAGGGGCTGCGTTTCGTGTGAATGCCACTGCAAGCAGAAGGCTTAAATGTGGCAGGGAATGGTACTGAGGGCGTGTGACCCATGTGGAATGAGAGGGAAGGTCAATACCAGAGTCGAGGAGTAGGACAGTCTACCTTGCCCCCCCACCCCGCTCTAGACCTGAGGGGACATTCAATAGGCCATTAGGTCTCTTGCTGTGGCCATCTTGACCCTTTATGCTAACCCTTACAATGGTATGAAGCTGTAACTGTTTCCAGCCTGCCTTCCTCCTGTGGGGTTCAATGGAAGCCAGGGAAGGAGCCGGCGGTGTGAGGGAAGGGTCCCATTAAGAACAGGAGGGCTAGCAGGGGCTGCACCTGCCCTTTGTCAGGCCAGCGCTCCACACTCTCCTTCCCTGTCATTGAGCTCTGTCATTACTCTTCAGGCACCACGCGATGCTCCTTCCTGTGAATGAAAAGAAATGATACCACACACTAGGCAGGAGATAAAGGGTAATAAATACTTTGTTTGCTACCTCTGGGGAGAAAAAAAAAAACATCTTTGACTTCCATCAGGGCATGGACCTGGAATTTACACACACACACACACACACACACACACACACACACACACACACACACACACACACCAAAGGAACAGAAAAAGACAACCAGGCAATATTAAAAACACTTGCTGGGATGCTTAATGATTGACTGCAAGGGGGTTAGTTCTCCCTTCCTCTCCCTTTCAGCCCTTTTACAGAAGTCCTCTATAGCCAAGTGACAATTGGGTTTGAAAAGATCTCTTGTACACCTTTAGTGAAGCATATTATTTAAGTAACCTGTTAAGGTTTTCGGTAGTACTTTCTAGGCTGCCACTTCTGGGGCGAGCCTGCTGTGATGGTACCGTGTGTCAGTTTCAGAGCAGAGTGTTGCTAGTGGGTTTGGGTCCAGGTGAGGCAAACCTTATGTAAACCTATGGGGACAACTTCCTTAGATTTTGCATGTCAGGTGTCTCTGCAGTCCCATGTAAGACAGACATGTGGCCCCAGGGCTTCCTCGGTTCTGGAAGGATGCCAAAGCAGTAGCAGCAACATGGAATTACTGTCTTGTGTTTCTCTGGCCTGCAGAAACTAACTCGATATTGTATGCTCTATCTTGAGTCGGGGATCCAGAGTTTCTGAGATGAGAGGAGCCAGATGAGCGTATTAACGGGAGCTAATAAGATAACCCTTGCTGTTTTCTGGGCCATGCCATGCTCAGCGGACAACCAGAACCTAACAGGGCTCCACACTGTCTCCTGGAACACCCTTTAACTAGAGCAATGTCTGGTGTTTTCTTTTGCACGCTTGATTCTTTGCCTTCTTCTGGTAAGAGCAGTTTCTACCAGGTCCTGTGTGGATAAGTCCAGTCTGACCCACCTGTGCTACCTGCCCTGGGGGCTTGTGTAACGTGTCATCTCACAGCTCATTCCAAAGTCAACCGAGTTTATGACTGATTTCTGTGAAAATCTAACCCCTATAGGAAGGTGTACAAGTTTATACTGCTGTCAGTCATCTCCTAATAAGTAGGTTCTGAGAGGATGGGAGGGGCAGATACTGGCAGGAAGTTGGGGGGGTTGAGAGAGTTAAGATGAATAAATGGCGTGGTTGAGCAGGCTGGGAGCCACAAACCAGAGTCTTCTCCAGAGGGCTCTCTTTGATGAATGGCTACTCTCAGTGGTCGTGGCTGACAACGCCATTTCTCTGGAACTATGCTAGAAGTAAGCATATAGGCTTGGGTAGACAAATAGGTGGGCATCCTGCCTTGTTAGTTTTTAATGGTTAGGCACGTTGATGGGGAATGGTCTATGCAGAGATATTCTACATAGTGCTACCTATTTCCTGTCCTCACCTATTTTCTGTCTGTCGGATGCTGTCTCAAAAAGCAACCTCAGGATTTCTTCCTTCGGGCGTCTCAAACTACTCGGATGTTGGCATTGTCTAGTATATGTTTGGGATATGGTCCAGGACCTAGGGCTTCAGAGACAGAGAAGCAAGGTCAGCCTCTGGACATATTGGTTTACCCAGCAAGCTCTGGGGCATTGCATTGGCCATTCATTTCTTTCCTGTGACTAGAAGCCTTGGACTTGGGCATTCTCTAGTGCTCTGTATGTTTACCTTGGTTGGTGGGGAACAGGGCTGGCCTGGGATTCTAGTTGGGAATGGGTGTATGCTTTGGCTGATGTCTGTTAGGAGTACCCCGAAGTGCCTTCACCGCCTGAGCCCACATGGAAGTGCTTGGAAGTGTGACTAGATCCCAGTGCACTTGGTGTCTCGGTATATGCGCCACTCTGCCCTATGTCGCCACCACCAGGGTGGCTCCAAAGACCCAGTGGGTGTCTGAAAACGTCCACACTGAGGAGAATGGGCGAGCCTGCAGCGTCGACGTTCAGGGAAGCGCCCCCTGCCCCCTCTGCCGGCCGTTCTACCTTGGTCTAGATGTCAGCCGCGAGCTCCGAGCCAGCCAGCGAGCCAGAGAGGGAGCGGCGGCGGAGGCGGCGGCGGCGGGCCGCGGGCGGCGGGGAGGGGGAGGAGGCGAGGAGAGGGAGGGAGGAAGGGAAGCAGGGAGGGTGGGAGGGAGGAGAGGAGGACCCAGAGAGCGCCAGGCAGCTGGAGTTTTTGCAGCGCTTGGCCGGGCTTCAATGCACAGCAGCAGCGAGCCGCGGCGGCAGCAGGCAGCCCGGGAGCTCCGGCGGCGGCCGAGCCAGCGGCGGCCCCGCTCCCTGCCCCCTGCAAACTTTGCGAGCAGCCCGCCCGGGGGGCCGGGGGCGCGCCCGGGAGGCTCGGCTTGGACCACGGCCGCGCTCTTGGCCGCCGCAGCGTCAGCCGCCGCCGTCGCTGCTACCACCTCAGCTCCGTGCCTCCCCGGGGAGCAGTCGGCGGCTCCTGCGGCCCCCAGCCCCGGCCCCTGGGCACTGCCCGGCTAGTCCCCGGGCAGGGGTAGGGGCAACAGCGGCGCGGCCAGCCCTGGGCTGCCAGAGGGTGGCCGCCACTGCCCAGGGAGGCGCGCAGAGGCTCGGAGAGCGCTCCCCGGCGGGTCCCCAACGCACTCGCCGCCGTGCCCGGGCAGCGGCCCGACCCGGCTAGCATGGGCGGCGCAGAGTGACGCCGCCGTGCCCGCTTGGCATCAAGGACATTCAGCCCGCTGGGGTGGGGACGAAGGGGGGCAGCCCCGCGTCGCCGCCGCAGCCCCTGAGAGCCACCACTGCCGCTGCTTGGGCTCTGGGGCTGGGTGGAGGAAAAGGGGTGCTTGGAATCGATCCACATTTTCTGACCTTTTTGTTGGACATTACGCCCACCTTGGACGCTGCAAGAGGAGCTGTCAAGCCCGGCAGGCTCTGATTTGGCCCCCTCCGTTTTCCTCTGCTGCTCGTGGCTTCCCCGTGCCTCGGTGGAGTATTTGCGTTCGGGGCTGGGGCTGGAGGAGGCAGCCACACGCGCGCACACGCACACGTTCAGAGGAGGGCGAGAGGCAGCGGTACAGGCACCATCTGCAGTGTCAATGCGGCGCTGGGGCTGAAGGAGGGAAACGCCGCTCTTCCAGGTAAGGAGGCACCGGGCGGGCGCAGGGCCAGCGAGGCAGAGCGGGCGGAGGTGTGGGGTCCGGTCCCGGAGTCCTCGCCTGCTCCAAGACAGTCCGCTACACAGATACACGCACGCACACACACACACACACACACACACACACACACACACACACACACGCATGCACAGACAGACAGACACACATACACAAACACGCGCGCGCACACGCACACACATGCATACACGCATACACTGAGCTCACGCACCTGCCCACGTCCCACCTGGACACCCGTGTAGGTGCAGCGCAGCCCGGAGCAGGGATTTCCCGTGTTCTTCTCTTCACTGGACCTAGACTTCCCCTCACCGGGACTTTCAGGGTGGGATTCGGTAAATGACTGACTCTCTTACCTAGCCTGATAGAAGGAGGGAGCGATTTTGCTGTTTCTAGCTCCTTTCATTTCCTAACTGTTTTTTTTTTTTGTTTTGTTTTTTTTTTTACAAAACAGAAGTCATGGGAGGTCTTAGGAGACCCGCCCAGTGCAATTGCGCCCTTGGCTTTTGGACACTCGGGGATTTTTTTTTTTAAATAGGAGATAGACGTAAATATTTAAAGGGCAGAGATTTGGAGATTGTGGTGATCAGGCGCTTGGGAGGAGGCCACATAAGCAACCGGGCTGCAGTTCTGTAGGGCGGCGCATATGGAAGAGACTCTGCGTTTCCCTAGTAAAGGCAGCACACACGCCTTTCCGAAGCGTGGCACTGCTTCCCTGGAATGTGCCGGGATTTCAGGCAGGGAGGGGCTTTAGCATCAAAGCTAGAGGAGGGATCCTTGTCTAGAAAGGATGCTGCGGTCCTTTAAGGGGGATCAAACCTTATTCACGTTGCCAGTCACTGGTAGACAGCAAGCAGACAGGGCTTGGGGGACACGGCTTTGTGGCCAGTCCCTCACTCCCTTGTCCTTCTCTGTGCATGCCAGGCAATTTCCTCTGGTGCTTTGGCTAACCCTGTCACATGTCTTTGAGGTATGTGTTTGAGAACACAAACTAGGAGGGAGAGTAGAGATGGATTTAGACTTCCAGGGAAAAAGGACTGTGAACACATTGTCATACCCCACCCTCTAAGGTATTGAATCTACTAGTGCCCACCCACCACCACTCCAGATCTTCTGCGTGCAGAATTACTTTCCCAAAGCCAATGGTTCAAGCCGTACGTCCCCAGAGCTCCGGTCCCCGCCCCAGTTCCAGAGCCTGCTCATTTTGAAACTTTTCCTAGAATGGATGGGGGGTGACTGGAGTTCCAAAGGGCTTTTTCCTGGCTCCCCTGTTGGAGTCTAAGACAGACTTCTCTGGGGCTTCAATTATTTCAGGGAGAATAGAAGATTCAAATAAATCGTAATTTTAGGCTCGAATATACATGTAGAAAGTTTCTATGTTTCTATAGCTGTCCCTTTGTGGGTTTTTTTGGGGGGGCATCCTGATTTTTAAAAAATGGGATATGCTTCTTCCCTCTTTATAAGATCATTTGTTCAGAATGTCCTACAAACCTACCAAAGGGAGAAATACATTGGGAATCTTCCAGTAGGTGAGGGACAAGGAGCAAATACTCTTGAACAAGGAGGCCTGAGTATAGACACAGGATTTTGACTGCCTTATAAATCCCAAAGATGTGGTACAGCCACATAGGGTTTTTTCTATACCCCCACCTCTCCTATTTTTCAAACTTTCTTCTGACCCCACCAAGGTCTCTGAGGGCTAGATGTGGGGGATTGTGGGGAGAGTATGTGCCCCAGGAAAGAAGCTGTACCCCTGCTGTGTGTGGAGTAAGCTGTCCTTTGATTGACTGAAACAGGTAGCTGGAATAAAGGGAAACAATGAGAACCCAGACCAGGAAGAAACATTATTTTAAGAAGGGTGGGTGTGTACATCCAGCTGTATACTCCCGTCCTTAGAACCTTGCCAAGTGCAGTCAGCTTGTCCGAGCACAGGTGACAGGGGTGTCCACTTCTGATACCCAGGCTGTGGAAAAACACTGGTACATTGCAGCATGCACACACTTGGAGTGTGTGCATGGGGAGGACCCACATATGCATGCATATGGCTGTGGCACATGGTTCATAATAAGGAGCGAACCACAGTGACAATGAGTGTCTCTGAGAGAGGCATTCCCTCACAGGACCTGCGAGGGCAGGGAGCTGGGGTGCAAAGCTCCCCTGTCACAATAGACTTCTGATCCTTTCTCTGTCCCCTCTTCCCTCTCTCACATAGTTGCAGCCTCAGGATCTGTCATTTTAATGCAAAGTCAACTGTCATGCTGGCTATAAACACCAGAGCTCAAGAGAATCCCCACACTTTCTGCACTTACCATTGGTTTCTAGGAAAACATAGACAGGAATGAACACTGTGTGTGTGTGTGGTGTGTGTGTGTGTGTGTGTGTGTGTGTGTGTGTGGTGTGTGTGTGTGGTGTGTGTGTGTGTGTGTGTGTAAAAGAGAGACAGACTCAGAGACAGAGAGACAGAGAGTTAGTTCCTGGCTCTCTTGCTTAACCCTGGAGTCTACCACAATATGCTTTACTATTCTTCCATGGGCTTTTAAGTTCTCTGGTCCGTACTGGAAGACACTCAGCTGCATGCACTAGGAAAGGCCCAGGCACAAATGCTTTTCTTTGGTCAGCCTTATTGAGGCTGGAAGTTGTTCTGGATGCATTCCTGTGAACAGCAGGCATGGTTGACCCATGATCTGCTCTGCTCTTTCACTAAATCCTACACACACACACACACACACACACACACACACACACACACACACACACACACACAAATAGGCCCTGAAAATGTTTCAGGGAGGAATTTTTCTCCTAGGCAGCCAATTTGCTCCGGTCGCCTTCCCTGTCTCTCTTCTCCTGCTTCTGCTCTGCTCCCTGCAGACAGGGAAATCGGCATAGCAGAATCTGCCTACACTTGGCCTACAGATCCCTTTAATCAGAAGGAGGGCTGCTGGGAATTAAGTGGGGGCTTTCTCGGGTGCTAACATTCCTACCTTGGGGAGAGAGTTCAGGGGGAGGGGTTAGTAACTGCTCTGGGCTCCTAGGATTTTGCCAGGCTTTCATGGAAAGAGATTACAGCAAGTGCCTCTCCTCCCAGCCAGCTAGGGGGCATTTCTTTGCAGCTCCAGCCCAGTCTCACCAAAGAAGGCACTGTGCAGACAATGCACATTGGAGACCTGTTGGAGTGGCCGTCTGCCTGGCTGTGATGGGGTGGCAGCTATACTGTGAACCTACCGTGATGTGGTTTTGGCTTTGATTACTCTGCAACAGATGTGTCTGTCACTCTGGCCTGGCCTCTTACTTGTGTCCAGTGCTCCCCGATGGGGAATGGGTTCAGGCCCTGGGCAGTTGGGCAGGGCTCCTTTCTTTCCCTTGACACCTGTTCCCTCCTCCTTCAAAGCCCCGCCCCTCCCTCCCTCCCTCCCTCCCTCTCTCCCTCCCTCCCTCCCTCTCTCCCTCCCTCCCTCCCTTCCTCCCTCCCCCTCACTTGAGCCTGCATCCACCAATCCACCAGCCCATTCACCCTCAAATTTGCGGCACTCCACAAAATCAATATAACATGAATTTAATGACAGCTGGATGATTAAGTGTTATTTATATTTAAAAGTGGCATTTAAAAAAAAGACGTTGTGCTAATAAATCAAAGGGCTGTTTGGGAGATGCACATGATTAGGGTAATTGCCCTGGAGGCTCCACTGAGCAATGCTTGGTCCACCCAGAGCCCTGCAGACACTGTCACTTTAAAAGCTAGTCCTCACTGTTCCCTTCCCCAACACTCTCCTGATCCACTCTCACTGTCCAGACTCACTCCAGGTCTCCCTCCTGTCCTTGTTTCCCAGGCTGCAGACATTCTAGTTATGACAGGAAGGTGGAGCCAGCAAGGAGACAGGAGCAGGCTCTGCCATTGAGTGGAAGGAGGTGCATCTTAAAGGGGAAGGCAGGCAGGGTTCCAGAGCGGGGAGGCTGCTTCTCCACTCACTGTGAAGCAGATTAGCTTCTAACTAAAAGTCCCAAGTGAGGAACCCTGTGCTGTGATCCTGCGGTGTCAGCCTCCCTAGGGAAGCAGCTGTGTGGACATTAGTATTGGCTTTAGCCCTTATGAAAACACGGGAATAAAAAATAGTACTAATTAATGATGATAGTGGTGGCTGTGTTTATGGAGCACTTCCTTTGATCTCGCATCATGAGCGCTCTAGTTGGGGTTGCTTCTTTTATTCTTCACAAGCACCCCAAGAGGCAATGGCTACAGCTGTCCCTACATCCCCCTCAAAGGGGCTGAGATGAGGGAGGCTAAGGACTTTGTTCAAAGTCACATAGCCGCCAAGTGGTGGAACCAAGTCTCAGTGCTAAGTCATCTGACCTGGCTTCTTGTCGCCAAGCTGCTTGCCATGTGAGGATATAGGTACTCCACATGCTGCCACCCCCTTGCTAAGTGAGTGGGAGAGTGTGGTGGGGGTCCTGCTTTCTTCTTTGGATTATCTCTGACTCCAAGCAAGAGTTTCTATTTGTTGAGCCTCAAATTTCCCTATTAACTAAGGGGATAGAGTCTCATCCTTGGTTGATGGTGGATTGGAAAGTTACATGGGCCTTTTGAGCAGACCACTCGGCTCTGAGGTCCATTGTTACTTCATTTAGAAATTGCTGCTTTTCTCTGGGAAAAACATGGAAGACATGGCTGAGGGAATGAATGAAGTCTTCACCTTTGCTTTGGAAACTTGGGAAGCTCTAGGGGTCTGGTTCTTTGTAGTGAGTATTCCAAATTGCTGGTATTGTGGAAATGATACTCTCATTGAATGCTTAAAGTAGCCTGTGAGGTGGGGTATTGTGGCTTACCATTTTGATGGCATGAGAACTTAGGCTGAGATGACAGTTAAGGATGCCCCAGGCCCAGGTTGCTAAGCAACAGATGGCCAGTTCACTGTCGGGCAAAGATGCATGCTATGGCACTGCTCACAGGTGGTGCTCTGCAGTTGTTC